TCTAATCTCCCTTCATCAGGGGATTCTACTCCATCCAGAGCCCTAATGGCTCAAGCTGACCATGTGGCACTTGAGCAGCAGCGGCTAGAAGAGGCTGATCTTCTAGAAAGGGTCATCATCACTATCCTGGCATCTTGCAAACCTTCTACAAGGCGCATCTATGGTGCCACCTGGAAGGTCCTTTCCCAATGGTGCCTTTTAGGGAGGGTCTCTCTCCTGCTTCAGCCAAGTTGGCAGAGGTTCTTAGATTCCTTCAGCATGATCTGGAGAAAGGTTTGTCCCCCAACACCTTACGCAGGCAGGTTGAGGCCCTCTCCTTGGTTCTTTCATGGGGTTCGCTTCCTTCCTTATCCCATCACCTTTCAGTCAGGAGGCTTTTGAAAGGGGCTTCCAACCTGCACCCACCGGTGGTTCACAGGTATCCTTCCTGGGATCTTCATTTGGTCCTTAATGCCCTTACAAAGCCCCCCTTTGAACCCCTTAAAACAGTGTCTCTCTGTTTGCTGACTCTGAAGGTAGTGTTCCTCGTTTCCATCACTTCAGCCAGGCAGGTATCCGAGCTCGCTGCTCTTTCCATCAGACAGGACCTTTCATGATGATAGGGTTGTTCTCCATCTGGACCCCTCATTTATTCCAAAGGTTAACACCTGGTTTCACAGGTCCCAGGACACTGTGTTGCCTGGCTTCTGCCCCCTCCCACACTATGACTTAGAGCAGCAGTGGCACATGCTAGACGTAAGAAGGGCTCTTAGAATATACATTAAGCGCACTTCCTCCTTCAGGAAGTCAGAAGCCATGTTTGTTTTCTTTTCCCTTCTCACTTGGGGCACAAGGCCTCTTCTACTGTTAGCAGATGAGTCAGATCTTGCATTGAGCATGCCTACAAAGCTGTGGCCCTTCCGGTTCCTCGAGGTCTGAAAGTGCACTCTACCAGAAGCGCGGCCACTTCTGCTGCCTGGGCAACCCAAGCTCCCTTGGAGGAGATCTGTCGTGCGGCCACGTGGACTTCCCCATCTCATCAGACACTACCGTCTGGATACCTTTGCCTTGGCGACTGCAGCCTTCGGCAGGCGGGTGCTTCAACAAGTGGTTTAACAGTCGGTGTGATGAGCTGGATGAGGACCCACCCATGGACATGCAAGCTTTGGTATGTCCCATCCTGGGCTCTCGATGCAGCATGGAGGAGAATGGTTGTTGGCAGAAGTTACCCTGAACGCCCTTTCTATCTATGCTGCGAGAGAGCCCAGCCCCTCCCTTGATTCGTCCGGAGAGGGTAAGTCATATTTCTGTATTCATTTTGTGCTTTCAGAGACACCTTTCAGTCTGTCAAGTATCTTTGCCAAAGCTGGGGTCTCTCCCGGGGGTTGGCTTTTATATCTTAGTACAGACTCAGCTAAATGACGTCATAGGAAGG